AATTGGCTTGAATTTTATCGGTGTTACAATTCACTTGGATAAGTACATCCTCTAGTACACCTTTTGGTTGTACTGTTGAGTGATCAACCAACTGAATAATAGTCTCGGTCTTTTATAAAGATCCCAATTTTATTTTTCAAAAACAAAGAATGAGAGGATATTGACTAAAGCTAGGTGTAAGCAAAAACCGAACCGCAAACCGAAAAACCGAAAAAACCGCATAAACCAAAATCGAAAAACCGTAACCAAAATGAAAACCAACGGTGCGGTTTTTACTTGTGCAAAAACCGAAAATGTTTCGTGCGGTGCGCTTTCTAGTCTTGCAAAAACCGCAAAAAACCAAACCACACCGAATATATATATAGATATATATATATATTATAATATTATATATATATATATATATATATATATATATATATATATATATATATAAAGTGTTGATATTTGTAAGAACGAAGAACTCATGACAATTAAAATTTCTATAAATATAAATATCTATCTTATCAGAAGATGATTGTATATTTTTAAGCATACATATAGTGATATTTACAAGAACAAATAATGTTTATTATGTTTTTTTAACATTTTAATATTAAGAGTACTAGTGATGATAGTATCATTTTTATGAATACATTAATTGATATTATCATATGTAACTGTGAAACAAATATTATATTTAATTCGTATTATATTCAAGCATTAGAAGCATGTTGGATGAGTGGTTATGTTATTTGATTTTGAAACCAAGAGGTTGGGGTATCGGTTCATCTCCAAGATATCATTTGGGCTTTAATTTTGTCAGCCTTATAAGAGGACCCCTCATCGCTTTTGAGATAAAACCTTCACCATTCTCACATTTCATATAAGAGAGTCAAGTCTATGGCTTTTAACCCACATCTTTGAGGAGACACACATTGCTGGGGATGAAAAATTTGGTGCTCCTCATCTTTACATAAAGTTTCTCAAAAAATGTTTAACACTTCTCATCCGAGTTAAAGTAACTCGTTAAGTTACCTGAGTTTTAGTAAAAAGGCAAAACAAAAACCAAATGAAAAAAAACTGACAAAAAACCGCAAAGAAAAAACCGAACCGAAAAAAACCGCAAAAAGCGAACCACATAAAAACCGAACGGTGCGGTTTCTAAACTTCAAAAAACCAAAGTTGCGGTTTTCGGTTCGGTTTTGGCTAAAACCCGCACCGAACCGCACCATGCTCACCCCTAACTAAAGCACCTAAGTCTAGCATGGATTTTGAAAAAGTAAGGTTTCCTAACTTACAATGAATCGAGAAAATTCTTGGATCCTTGGATATTGGGGGCAAACCTTTTTGCAAAATCGTAGAAATGTTTTTGTCAGCTTTTATGGTTTCGTTTATTTTTAGGTTTTTCTTAGAAACACATAAGTCTTTCAAAATTTTAGCGTGACGTGGAACTTGTTTAATAACATCTAAAAGTAGGATATTTACCTCCACCTTACGAAAGGTGTCCATGATCTCCTCGTCCTCTTTCTCATGTTTTATGCTCTTCAGTCGTGATGGAAACGACGGTAATGGCTTGTACTCTTTCAAATTTAGCTTGGCTGGTCTTGGAGTTTCTTTTTCCACATCTTTTTCAGCTTCTTTTTCACCTAAAACTTCTTTAGATTCTTTTTCAGCCTCCTCTTCTAGTTCAGATCTGATTGGGCCTTCATAACTCTTCCAAGTTATCAAGGAAATAACACTAACATTGTGCTTTGGATTGTTTTTAGTTTTCCATGGTAAACTTTCCTTGAGACTCCAACCAATGACAGAAGTAGAAAGTTGAGACACTTGTTACAAATTCTTGATACTAGCTCTAGTTTCATTCTGGAAAACGTGGGTGCTGGTGGCTAAGTTTTTAACTATATCTTCTAAGCCTATGTTGGAGTTGCCAGATTGCTGATTTGAAAGCTAATTCTGAAATTGTTGTTGCTGATAATTTTGCTGATGCAGATTCTGATAATTGAGCTGATTTCTGAAAGTTCTGCTGAAAATTCAACTACTGAAAACCCGGAGGGTGCTGAAATTGTTGTCTTTGTTGATAATTTCTATTCTGATAAAAGTTTGGAGGCTGATTAGAATTTTTATGTTGCTGGTATCCATCGAAAGCTTTCATCGGAGCAATATCCTCTTGTAGTAGCGAACACATATCAGTAGGATGTTCGGTTTTCAGAAAGATTCCATATTGTTTCTTCGCAGCTCCTTTTTCCTTAGTCAACACCAACACCGCTTTTGTCAGTTCAAAAATTTGGGCTGCAAGGTGATGTGAGCTAACTTCTTTGACACCCTTCGGAAGATCAACGTACCACTCGACTTCATTACTGGAATGTTTTGACTCAATAGCTAGCTTTTCTATCAACTCCTAGATTTATGTTAGTGTCATGTCCCCTATGGATCCACCACCTGAAGCATTTGTTAGACACCTCTTCATGGGTGTCAAATCTTCGCAGAAACAATTGTATAACTGATAATCGCTTATCCCATGTTGTGGGCACCTGAAAAGTAGCTTTTTGAAGCGCTCCCAGTACGTGTGCAAAGCTTCTCTTCTTCCTTGTTTAATACCAATGATCTCTCTGTTAAGGCCCGGAACTCATGTTTTTGGAAAATATTTTTCTATGAATATTATCGCGAGTTCGATCCATGTGGTTGTCGACTCGGTTGGAAGCTCGTACAGTCATTCTCTTGCTGAGTCTTGAAGTGAAAAGGGGAATGCCCTTAGCTTTATTTGATCTTCTGTAACAGCGTGCAGCTTCATTCTTGAATAAACCACATCAAATCCCTTGAGGAATTTATGTGGGTTTTAGTTTTCGAGACCTCGGAATGCGGGGAGAAGATGGATTAAACCGGACTTTAATTTGAAGTTTCGAGATTCCGGAAAAGTGATACAAAGAGGCTGTTGTGTAACCTCTTGTGTTGCCCATTCTCTAAGAGTGTTCTCTTGATCGTCTTCTAAGCCACTCATGACTGATTTTTTAGATTCGGTTTTAGAAGAATCTATGGGTTCAGATTTTTCAGAGGATGGTGGGGAATATTTTTTAAACGGACTATTAGAAGGTGAAGATGAGGGTACTTTCAGGAAGGACGAGACAATTATTTCTTGTTCGTTCCACAAGGGACTGCCTTGTGGTGTGGTCATTTCTGGGGATAGAGAAGATGATGAAACAAAGAAACCAGGTGATTGTTTTTGTTTTGCTGCTTCTTTCTTCAGTTTTCTTGAAATTTTCTCAATTTCTAGATCAAACTCTAGTGGTGTATCTGTATCCCCATCATCGACACCAATTTGTTAAGCCATTGTCGCACATGATTTCAACAAATAAAATTTCACTGCTCGAATGCACTAAAGGATAACACAAGGAAACAGGGTCGAATCCTCTAGGACACAACCTAATGGTCAATGTCTCTTTGTGTAAGGCACATACTAGTCATTTAACAAAAAATAATAAATAGGGGGAATTTTTGAATATTAACTAAAACTAAAATAGCAGTGAAAATAACTAAATGGAATTCAGTAATAAAGACGAATTCAGTTCTGTTGCGACTTTCCTAATCATGCAATCAATCCATATCCGAATTTGGTTATTCAAAATGTGTTCTATTAAAGCTGGTACTGAGAAAAACTAACATGCTCTAGTAAATTCTCTTTTATGTAATTAGGTAACCAAAACAAGCTCTTCAATTAACTCTAACTTTTTGCGGTTCTAATTAAACAAGCTCTTAATTAAATTCAGAAAAGCTGCATAAAGATCTATGTAAAATTCCCAGCAATATCCAGTACTTCTCACAAGCTCGGAAGCGTAAAGATATGAAATTTCAGTTTATAATAAAGTCAAATCCAAACATAGAACTAATTTATTACTTGTTACTTATTACCTGATTATCAAAACAATTATGGATTTCAACAATTGATTAATTGAAATGATTAAACCCTACCTAGATGATCAAACACACAATAAAAATCAAATTTGATAACTGGTCACATGAAAAGTACCAGTCTATGCAGAACTGAAAATTAGGTTTTAGCCAGATGATGCACCATCGGGTCCGTCTTCCATTTATTACTTTAGATGTGTTCGCTCGAGTACTCCATCTGACCTGGGAAATACAAACAAACTCGTAAGCCGATGATAAAGTCAGTGAAAACTGTGATTAACGGTGATCGAGTTGATTGAGAATGTATAAAGGGTCATTCTCGTACCTGGTGGGGGGAATTAGATCATCTCTTTATAGTGGAGGTTGAGAGGGGATGTCGACCTCTTCCTATTCCGATGATACTTACCATATTGTCGCATTTATGACGGTATGCCTGAGGGTGCATACTATTGTACTTGTAATTTGTTAGCCATCTGTTCTTTGTTGGCCTAAGAACCCATCAATCACACATCCTTGTACAAGTTGTATATTTAGAGATCATATGTGTAATGTTTTTGTTGTGACATGGCGTCGTACTTTGATCGTAGCTTGAGACATATCAAGTTCGGTATATATACCTGGCTCAGTATATATACCTGGTTCGGTATATATACCTGGTTCGGTATATATACCTGGTTTGGTATATATATACCTGGCTCGTTATATATACCTGGTTCGGTATATGTTAAGGGTATACATATCTATTCGACTATGCTATACCTTATTAAGTCCCCGCAGTTTGTATTTTCATTTGCTCGTGGAAATGACAATTCAAACTTTAATAAGATCGATGCAATACTCGTTGTACTCAGATAGGAACAAACCTCCTTAATTAAATTTCGACGTGACGTCCTGATGGTTTTTAGCCTTCATGATTACCCCTATAACCGTCTTTTCAGTTACCCTTTCTTTAAGAGACACACAGTATCCAACAACCGTTTTTTCTGCCCCACAAGTGTCCCTTGCCAATGGATTTCTTATAAATATTTTTCTTCCTACTCGCTTGTTTCTTCCCTCATTTCTTCGTGAAAAAATCCTCGTCGATTCCTTGCCATTTTTAAATTTTCTTGTCCATGGCTAGCACTGGTATTTCTCATATTAGGACTATAAGGTCTAAGCTTTCTGTTAGAAGCATGTCGAGTATTGTGAGGAAATACGATATCGATGCCAAATTTCATCCCCGTCCTCCTGGGCCTGGTGATGCGATCGCCAATGCCCCCAAAGATTTCGTTGGGGTGTACCGAGTGTTCTTCAAATCTGGTTTACGGTTACCTGCCTTGGATTTCTTAGAGACAATCCTTGACTATTACGGTCTGCATATCGCCCAAATCACTCCAAATGGGTTTCGCAAAATTCTATGTTTCCTGTTATTGTGTATTGCCCTAGATATTGTACCCTCCATCACCATTTTTCGACATTTTTACCTTCCTATGTCTAATGGTGATTGGGTGTCGTTTTTTCTCTGTCATGGTCTTGTGGAGCTTTATGACAGTCTTCCTACTTCCATTAAGTACTGGAAATAGGAGTTCTTCTTTGTTCATGTTTCCGCCTTTTCCGGACCTATGACATTTGGAGAAACTATTGATCCTATTCCGGATTTATCCCCTGATAAGCATGCTATCACTGAGCGATCGGACGAAAACTTTGTGAAGTGGAGTGATCCTGAAGAGTTCGTGTTCAGTATGGCAGGTATGAATCCGCATTGGAACATATTGGGGAAAAATCCTGTTGAGTTTTTAGGAGAACGAGAGATAACATTGTTGGATTGATGTTTAAGGAAATGGTTAGCCAGTTCTACCGTGGTGATAGAAGAAACTGTTATACCATATTCTCATTCGAAGTCCGAATCTTGCATGGATTCTGCTATGAATCCATCTCAATCAAAAGTTATTATGCTCATGATACCAACGTCTAGTACCAAAGTGACTAAGATGGAACGAGATTCCAGGAAACCGCCCTTCGTTTCCACTAGGGATGTTCTTCAAGACTATGCTACAAAGAAAAGGATTGGGTATTCCAAAGTTGATAAGTTCATCTCCCTGTCACCTCCAAAGCGCAAACGAACTTATCGTGAGGCAAAAAGCCATAGCTTGACTAGCCTTGCTGAACGATCAGTTCCCGATCTTGTGATTCCTGAACCATCTTTGGAAACCCCTCCTTCATCCACCTTTCACAAATGTACCATTGTCTCTGATTCAGAAATGCAACTTGTTAAGGGGGATCTTCTGGGAGATACTAATGATGCTCTTGACTCCAAATACACTTCTAATTTGAATCTTGAGGAGCGACTCCTTGTGTCGATCCTTGAACCTCTTCTTCTTTGTCTGAATCCTTCATTTGATCTGTGTGGATGGAGACCCGATCCCACTCTTTTTCTCTGTAGATTTGCTTTTCTTTCTGTAACCCTATCATGTTATTCATGGTCCTAAAGGGTTTAAATGCTCTGAACTCCTCTAGCTCCCATTCTTCCACCATTTTATTTTGTTGGCTCGTCCTTTCTTATTCAGCTACACCCCCTGTTGTCGCGTCTTGGTTCCTTATCACAGTAGAAACATGTGTCGTTTCTCCAGGACCTTCAAGATTCTGCATTCTCATGATGGGACTTACGTTAGCCGCCGGTGTGTTTACGTCGGCCATTTATAGCAGAGTCCCACGGATGGCGCCACTTGATGCACCACCAGGCATGTCTTCCATTGGTTACTTTAGATGCATTTTATCGAGTACTACAGTTAACTTGGGAAATACAAACAAACTCGTAAGCAGATTGACCGGGACGATATCTCAGAGCAACACTCCGATGATAAAGTCAGTGAAAACTCCGATTAACGGTGATCGAGTTGATTAAGAATGTATGAAGGGTCGTTCTCGTACCTGGTGAGGGCGAATTAGATCATCGATTTATAGTGGAGGTGGAGAAGGATGTCGACCTCTTCCTATCCCGATGATGCTTACCATCTTGTCACATTTATGACCATATGCCCGAGGGTACATACTATTGTACTTGTAATTCATTAGCCAGCTGTTCTTTGTGGGCCCAAGAACCCATCAATCACACATCCTTATACAGACTGTATATTTAGAGTTTCTATGTGTAATGTTACTGTTGTGACGTTGTATCGTACTTTTATCGTACATCGAGACATATCAAGTTCGGTATATATGTCTGGCTCGGTATATATATCTGGCTCAGTATATATATCTAGTTCGGTATATATCTTGGCTCAGTATATATACATGGTTCGATATATGGGAAGGGTATACATATTTATTAGGCTATCTTATACCCTATTACCAGACATGGCTAAAATATGATCTTAACTAATGAAAAAAAGAAACTAAATAACTAATCTTACTAAATTAAACGTAGGAGATGATCCACAGCCTTCAGATCTTCAGAAAGTGATGAAAAGTAGCAAAAATCGCCTTTAGGAGATGATCCACAACCTTCAGATCTTCAGAAAGTGATGAAAAGTAGCAAAAATCACCTTCATGAGAGTTTTTTGGTCGTCTGGGAACGTCCCGTATCGTCTAAGAGGATAACTGGTATTTATATAGCATACTTGGCAGCAAATAAGAATTCTGGCAAGAAGCACGACCCGTGTTTTGTGATACATATCCCGTATTTGGTCTTTTTTTAGCGTTTTGGCTCTAGATATGCTCCAGTTATCCCCCAAAGACTTTCAAACTACCGCTCCACTTCAAATTACCTGAAATAGACACCAAAACATGAGCAGTATGAGAATTCTTACAGAATGCATTAGCTGAATATTATTTAAACTAATGCACATGAAAAAGCATGAAATGTGATGAAAAATGTTAATAAAAACTAATATAAAATATGCATAAAATGGCTTCTATCAGTATAACAACCTTTGCGAGACACCCCCACATCCGAATATATTTGTAAGATGGTTTTATACCTGACCATAACTCATATGGTGTTTTATCCGTTTTCTTTTGGGTTACCTTATTCAAAAGGTAATTAGTTGATAACACAACTTCACCCCACATTGAGTGTGACAACCCATAACTTAACATCATGACATTCATCATTTCTTTTAAGGTACGTTTTTTCCTTTTCGTGATGTCATTTAGTTATGGCGAATAAGGTGCAATAATCTCATGTCTTATACCATACTTTTCTTCAAATGGTGATCCACAATCACTTCTTAGTACTTAAATATTTTTATTGAGTTGATTTTCAACTTCACTTTTATACACTTTCAACGTGTCTATTGTTTCATCTTTACTTTTAAGTAAACAGACATAACATAGTTTAATGAAATCGTTAATAAAAGTGATAAAATACTTATTTTCACTTTTAGATTGATTTGAATTCATATCACACACATTTGTGTAAATCAACTTGTTTTTCAGTTTTTGCGGCTATTTTTAGCAAAATCAAGTTGTTTTCTAAATTCTAAAGGTGTTTTACATAAATTTGAAGTTGTCTTCTACTAAACAAAGTTGTTTATAACAAAATTAATTTGTTTTTAATAGAAGCTTAATTTTTTTGTCCATAAACTAAGTTATTTTTCCATAAACAAGCAAGGTAAAACTAAAAAAATGATCTTTTTCCTTTTTGTTTTCCTGTTTAAAACCGAACAAAAAATGCAAGTAAAATTGTTTCCGATTTCTAGTTCGTTTTGTACAAAAAATTTTGTTTTAAGATTGTAGAAATAATATTATGGAAATATATAAAAACAAATAAGAAAATAAAAAAGGTTGAGACATGCGTTTAACATATTGTCTTTAAAACAAATTTGTCTGCTACCGAGTGTTTGTTTCCCCTGATACGACAGCTTGAATTGGTTTTTCTAGATCCACCGAACCTTCAATAGGTCTAGATTATACTCTCAATATCACATGAAAGTGAAGAAGATGAATCGGGGAAGAGGAAAGTTTGGTTGCATTTTTTTGTGTATCTCAAATGGTTGTAGAATGATTGTATTTATACTACAAACCATAACCAACAAAAGAGTTAAATCAACATTAAAATGCAATTTGTAACCGACATTATATTTAATATCGCTCTTAATTATGCATTGTAACCGAAAATTAAACATCAATTTTCGATTATATATCATTCAACCTCTAAAATTTGGTGAGTAGTTTCAATTCACTAATTATTTTTCCAGCTCCAAGAAGCAACATAAAGTCTCTCGCTCTTGTTGTGAATCCAAGTATCGTGATATGGCCAACACGACTGCTAAAATTGTATAGGTTACTCGTCTAGTGATTCATGTTTTACCTCATGATCGATTTATGATTCTTGAGACAATCAAAGTGTCATATTTATAAGTAAAAAAATCTATATCTCACCAACGAGCAAAACATATATATATATATATATATATATATATATATATATATATATATATATATATATTTCCACAGCACCCCTTAACTTTGAGAAATGACATTTTCAATCCCCATCCTTTTTAAAATACTCTGTAAAATAATATTTTCTACCTCTCTAATTTTTAAAATGTAATTTTAACCCTCCACTTTATACTTTGTAAAATTTCAGTTTCATCCCTTCATTTTCTAAACTTTTATTGTTTAACCTCCATAGTATATATATAATCTGATTTTCTATAATAACTTCTGTTTGTTACTTACACAAAACTAATTTTTTATGTGCTTATTTTTGTTTATGTGTCAGTATAAATTCATGGTGATCAACGTTTCAACATATTTTTAGAACTTTCGGTCTTTTAAAAAAAACTACTTGGTTTTTTTGTATGTGTTTGTATAAATTCAAGTTTGTCTACGTTACGATGCAATTTTTAATTTAAAGTTTCCGTGTTTGTTTTTATGTGTGTTTTCTACGTATGAGTCGGGTCACATATAATATAATTTTAATAATTTGAACTTTTGTTCGTTAACTTAATAAAAATCTTAGTTATTTTTATGTACATGTCTCCCCCGTACGTAGTATACATAATCTGTTTTTCTTTAATATTTTTTGTTCGTTAACCTAAAAAAATCATTTCTTGACTTTCTAAACTTTCGTGTTTACCTCATCAACTAACAGTTTAGTAAGTGATAACGACTTTGTATATTTATGTATCAACAAATGCAACGGTACCTAACTTTCATCAATACAAATGTCAAAATTCAATTTATAAAAACGAATTAGACTCACCGCAACACGCAGGGGCAAAATACTAATTGCCATTAATTATCACTTTGTTCTTGAAATTGTCTCTTCTAAATGATTATATACTTACTTTGTTCTAAGTTCTAACCAAGCTTTAGCCTTCCACAACCCTACACAACTTCTTAAGTATTATTTTGTTTAAGATCTTGGGCCTCGTTTGATAAAAAAAAAATACTTTTGAATTCACATTTTGACAAAGTTGCAAACAAGATAGGAAAAAACGTTTATAATCTAATAAAACCAAACTCGATTTATAACATTTTGTAAATAGAAGTTATAAATTGTAAAATTAATTTGATATTTTCTTTAGTGGTCTAGGTTGTCGACATGTGGTTTAATATGCATTGAGGTCATGTGACT